GCCCATAAAGTGTTCTTGGAGATTGCTTGAACCTTGAATCCAAAATCTTCCATTTGAAACCTAGCTAACTTCCCTTATATAGGAGGAATTCATAAAATACAAAAGTGTCAAACGTTTTGAAATGCATATGAGATCCTAAGTCATTAAAAAAGAAAACTACCAAAGAAATAGTCAATTAGCAACTAATCTTAATCAAGAATGATCATCACTTTTAAGGGAGTAAGATAATCAAAATTATCTCAGTAGTCAACTAAAAGGAAATAGAAGCCCAAGTTTATAGAAATAATAAGCACAAATATGGGGCAATGTTGTAATTTTTATATAATGGATCATAGTTCACCATGAAAGCCCTAATGAACGAAAGAGAAGCATAAAAAGGGAGTTGAATAGGGCAACCTATACTTCTCACAAGTAATCAACTAACTATTATACTAAGTTTTGTCTCGGGAACATTATAGCGATAAGGGAAAAAGGAAATCCACCTTGAACTAAAAATTGGAAGAGTAATAAGAAAACGAGGAGAAATACACTTCTTGAATTCATTTAAGGCTAGGTCACCTAACAATAGACCACCACTCCAAATATGGTTTCTAAGCAATCACGTCATATTTTACTTTTTTTGTCGGACCACCCAAATAAAAAAGGCATCGGATTTTATTTTTTTTAGGTCGATGAAACGGATAATAAAGCCATCATATTTTAATTTTTTGGACAAGTCGTCCAAATAACAAGCTCATCCCATTTTAATTTTTTAGGCGGACAGTCCATATAACAAGGTTATCGTATTTTATTTTTTTGAATAGAGCTATCTAGATAACAAGACCATTGTATTTTACTTTTCCAAGTTGGCCACCCGGATAACAAGGCCATCATATTTTATTTTTCCAAACATGCCACCCATATAACGAAGCCATCGTATTTTGCTTTTTCGGGCGAGCCACCCGAAAAACAAAACCATCATAATTTATTTTTTACAATAAGTCATCCAAGACAATTAGGTTATTTTTTTTACCATTTAGTTTATTCTTTCTTTACAAGCTCATTGAGCAAACCCAATTTGAAGTTCACACTTCGATCGACATTTGCACCATAGCATTATAAAGAGAAGAAAAATGTCATAACCTAAAATTTGAGTTATATCTAAGTTCTATTATTTTTCTAATATTTTTTGCTAATTTTATTTCTTTTATTTTTATTTACTTTATTCTATTTTTTGTGATCAATTTTACAAGTTTTATTTTAGGATTTTATTTTATTTTTATAAGAAAAGAAAAAAATAAAAAAGAAGAAAAAATAAAAATATAAGAAAATAATATGTGTGTGTGTGTGTGTGTGTAACAAAATACAAAAAAGCATGAAATCATTAATTAGGGGCATGATTGGACAAAAATCAAGAATTGAAACAATTAAGGATACATTTGAAAACCCTATAACTAAAATTAAAAGATAGTGGGACCCAATTTAAAAAATTGAAAGAACTAGGGATCAAAACTACATGCCTAAATGATCTAATTGGAAAAAATCGAAATACATAAGGACTAAATTGAAATTAGAGAGCAAACAACAAGACCAAATTGAACGAATGACTTCAACTCGTAAATCATCCTTCCCACTCATACTACTTATTGTCTTCCACCAAAGAAGGCGGATTCGATCAATGCTAAAACTCCCGGTTGGCGTTTGTATCAACTAGGAATCGTGTTTCACACCCGCATCACTCGTATCCACATAGAAAACCAAACACTCGCACAAACATTTCATTTTTGCTCTTATTTTTTTTTGTTCACAAATGGTAGAAAAACCCATAGATAGTTTTGATTTTTAGCAAGGAAGGGTTTGATTGTTGGGGAATGATATTAGGATAAGAATTTAGTGGAGTTTGGCCATAAGTTGAGACTAATTGGGGATTGACAAAGGAAGAGAGTAAAAAAGAAGGATTCTAGGTTTTATAAGTTTTTGGGTTTTTTTTGGGTTTTAAGAACATGAGCGACTCTAGTTCTTCAAGCATCACTTAGGGTCACAAGGCTTGTCTAGTCCACAATCACTCATGACAACACACTCCATAATCTATAGGTCATGCAATCATTCACAAACCCAAGCCATAAGCCATAATCATCAATCACCTATAAGGAGAAGAACAACAATAATGCCAACACCTAAATTTCATCATTTTTCAAACTTTTAGCTTCATTTAGGTAACCCAAACCTCAAGTTTATGTTCATTTTATTCCTTTATTCTTTGTGTTTAATCCCTTGAATTATAAAAATTTTAAAGAGAAAATGGTAATGACAATTAAGCTTCTAATGTTCAAATCCCTTAAGTCGTCAACAAAGGAGCACAAAGGGGATTTAGTTTGGTGATTAGCTCAATGATGGTGTTTTATTTAGATGGGGTTTCGGGTAAGAAGGGAGAAGAAGGAACGAGAGAAGAGTGCACTCGAGTGAAGAAGGAGAAGCATAAGAAGGAAAGAAAAAAAAAAAAAAAAAAGAACGAAAAAGAGAAGAAAAAGAAAAGGCCGGGGAGAAGGGGACCGGATCGGGTATAGCCCAGTCCGAAAAAATAAAAAATAAAAAGAGGGGGAAATGGGTTGGGTTGGGAAAGGTAAAAAAAGAGAAAAAGGGCTAAGACTAGCCCAACCTAAACTTAAGGCCTAAGAAAAGCGACCTACCCAATAGAATAGCCCATTGGGCATGAAAGGCCCAATAACCCTAATTTTAGTCATTTTTCTTGGTAAACTGGTTTTGAAATTTTAATACATGCCTTTTACTTTTATGCCTAGTTTAGATTTAATTTTTTGAATTTGTGATTTCTTTATGCCTATTTATTTGTTTAGTCAATGTTCAATTTGTTTTTTTAAAAAAATTCTTCCAATAATTAAATTAGGTAAATAATAAGTGGACAATTTGTCGAGTTTTTTAATTTTTAGGGACCGATAAAATGGTAAAAAAAATGATAAAAAAAAAGAGGAAAGCAAAATGATAAAAGAATATATATATATATATATATATATATATATATATATATATATATGAAAATGCTAGGTGGAAATTAATAAAATCTCGTATCTAATAGAGATTCTTATTAACTCAAATCAATCATATTTTAATAATTAAGTCGTTCTCCAACATATCAGCTTATATCAAGACTTCAACTAGATCTAAGGTTGAATTGACAAGACTCTCAATAATGGGTCCCAAGATCGATTCAATATGATGTCACGAATAAAATAAAATAAAATAAATTTAGCTTGGGAAATAAAACTTGAAATTTTGACTTAGCATTAATTTTGGTAAAAATAAAAATTTTTAGGAGATAAATTTTAGGACTAAACTAAATATGGTACCTTTTTAAAAAAAGATTTTGAATGATTGCTATCTTGCAACAAGTATAACTAATTCTTTATCTTAAAATCTCTCGAACTAATGTTCATTTTAGGTTCCTAATTACCTTCAATACTAAGTAACGACTCCAAAATTAATAATAACTCATTTTCTCAAATAATTTTTCAACAAATAATCTTAAATTTTAGAGTCTCATAAAAGCCTAACAGCGACACTAACCCAAACATAGAAACCTCTTTTTAGAGATATATATATTTTTTAATCTTTTTTGTAAGTTACCCTGTATTTGTTCCATAAATATCTGTTTTACCATGATCGCATGCATATGGTAAAAATTTACTTGTTTTGTTTTTATCTTAGAAACAGAATTGGCCCTCTCATTTTTACATATAATACCATCATAGCTAGCTGCCACCAATTAAGGATGGCCTCGATTTTTCAAAAAGCACAAGAGAAGAAAGGTATTATTCATTGAAAAAAGAAGAACGGACAAGCAGGCCTTGTGGCTTCTCTCTGAGAACACACTATACCAACAGTTATTTCAATTGTTCCAACACATAAAACTCGTTGGATAATGTGTTTTTTAAGTGCTTTTAAAAAGTGCGTTTTTATTAAAAAAGCATCAAATTGATAGTTTTTTTTTTAATGTTTTCGAATAATTTTAATATAAGAAATCGAAAACTATTTAAAAGTGTACATAAAAAATCATTCAATTGATGGATTTTTAGTTGGAAATATTTTTAACAAAGCAACCACAAACACATCACTAAACACTAAAACATAAATACTTTTTATTGTACAGATAAAATGATTAAATTAAATTTTTAAAGGAGCAAAAAAAATTCCTAGAAAGAAAACCTTCAACAGTAAAAATAATTAATAAGAGAAAATAATAATATTATTATTACAGTAACTAGTGATGATTTATGTGTTTATGACTTTACCATTTCTAATTTTAACATGGATATAAACATATGAAAATTACATTCAATCACAGTAACAGATAATTTTGGTTTCTGTTCCATCCCACCAACTCATGTTTTTCAAATCCCTTCCCAGCTAGCTGAAAGAAATAATTGGTGTTTTGAATAGGACAGGCATTATAGAACCCAATCCCGACCCATTTCATAAGTAGCTGCCCTCTTTGATGACATGGAATTTTGTATGAAACTCCGTGTCACCCCATCATCTCCCTCTCTCTCAGCTCTCAACTCTCAAGTCCCCCCATCTTACATGGGTCCCACGTCGGCACAGACCCATGACCACAGCTCCTCACAAACACTAATAAAATCCTAGGACCCCAAAACCAAACCAAAACATATTAAAGCTATTTGTCTTCTTAGGCAATAAATAAATAAGAAAATAAAGAAATCTTTTTACTTGGCTATGAGTTATCCACGTGTCCTCTTCTTACTTGTCAGCATTCAGCACACGGATTTCCTTTCTTCTGACTAGACTTAGATAGATAATAACAATCAGTAGCCAAGCAATCAACACACCCAACTCTTTACTCTTTCAGCCCCCTTCAAACCCCAAGCCATCAATCCTATAACTCTCTCTTCCACAATTTTGGAGAATCAAAACCCCAATAAACAAAAAGAAAAACGTTTTCGGTTTTCCTGCTTATTTCAGAAACTGACTTGGAGGGAAAAAAGAAAATGGGAATTGAAGTTGAGGGCTTAAAAAACTTAACCGGAGGATGGAGTGTTGCGGCCAAACGTTGCGACTCGTGCAAAACGGCTGCCGCTGCTGCTTTCTGCAGGGCGGACTCGTTTTTTTTGTGTCTGAATTGTGACACCAAGATTCACCATAGCAAAAGCATGTCCAGGCATGAGCGTGTGTGGATGTGTGAAGTTTGCGAGCAAGCACCAGCTGCGGTTACTTGCAAGGCTGATGCAGCTGCTCTTTGTGTTACTTGTGATGCTGACATCCACTCTGCTAACCCTCTTGCTCGCCGTCATGAACGCGTCACCGTCGAGCCTTTTTATGACTCTGCTGAATCAATTGTTAAGACTTCCTGCGCGTTTAATTGTCCAGTGCCTCCTGGTGATCAAAATGGTGTGTCTGGATATAATCAGAACGATGAAGTTGAGGGTGTTTCGTGGCTGTTGCTCGGTAATCACACAACACATGACCTTAATTCCAAGCTCAACATCGAGAATCCTGTTGTGAAGGGTACCGCAGACATGTTTTTCTCTGAAATGGATCCGTTTCTTGATTTCGAGTATCAGAATTCCATAGATGGGAGCTATGAGCACAACCATGGCGGAGGTAGTGCTGGTGCTGATAGCGTTGTGCCTGTGCAAGCCAAACCAGCTCCACTTCCTGTCATCAATCATGAAAATTGCTTCGATATTGATTTTTGTAGATCGAAACTCACCTCGTTCAGCTACCCATCTCAGTCTCTTAGCCACAGCGTAAGTACCGAAACCTGCTTAATTAAAGCTCAACTACATATTCAGAATTTGTAGAGTTGCTGACAAAATTTCTTTGATTTTATCAGGTTTCTTCGTCTTCCCTGGATGTTGGTGTCGTTCCTGATGGGAATTCTATGTCCGATATATCCTATCCTTTCGGACGAAGCATGAATAGTAATACCGATCCAAGCATGCCCGTCTCAGGTTCTACTACAAATCAAGCAGCAGCTCAGTTAGTTGGCATTGACCGTGAAGCCAGAGTTTTGAGGTACAGAGAGAAAAGAAAGAACCGAAAATTCGAAAAAACCATAAGGTATGCTTCACGTAAAGCTTATGCCGAAACCAGACCGAGAATCAAAGGCCGATTCGCAAAACGAACAGAAATGGATTCCGATATGGACAACCTATATAACTCTCAGACCTCTGTCCCCTTCATGGCCGATACCCAATGTGGTGTCGTTCCCTCGTTTTGATTGTGGGATTACGGAGGGGTTAATTAGCTATTAATTGCAATCAAGAAGATTATGTAATTTGTCAACTATAAGCAATAACGGTAAGAAGATGGTCTTACCCTCTCTTGATGTTGCTTACCGTAATCTGTAAAGTTTAGACGAATCCTTAAATGGATCAGTTGAAGTGTAGCTTTTTGCTTTTCAGGCAGCAAGATTAATGATGATGCTGCTATGCTTTTGCTCTTGAAATTTGCTTTTCAGATCAAAAGCCCCGCTTTACCTTTTTTTGTTCTTTTTTTTTTTTTTTTACTATCTGTAACTCTTGTCCTGGTAGGAAATAATTTTTGGCCTTGGTCTCCTTTCTAATCTGTACCACAGCTTTTCGCTTTTTTCTGGGCCTCCTTCCTTTCTCAAAAAGATCACGGATCTCTTTCTCCATTTCTATTGGCTATCATTATACTATATGACATTATACTATATGATATTACCAATAGAGATTTCCTTTTTGAACTGTTTAAGAAAATTATTAATTATTATATTATAATAATATTTTTATTTATATTTTTTAATTGTTAGTTATCCAACTTAATTATGCATCATTCTATGAAATCAATATTAATTTAAGAAGAAAATTTATTCAAAATTAAAGTGATAAATCAAAAAAAAATAATTACGTTAATTAATGATCAATTTAAAAAATTATAAAAAATAACATATTAATAGAAATGTTTCATTATCAAAATTTCAACCTGCCGTATAAAGTCATGATTTAAAGAAAAATGAATATTTTTCATGTAATAATTTTTTTAAAAAAAATTATGTTAAAAATATTTGTACTTGCACAAAAAAAGTATTAAACATATTGATTTTCGTTGGTAAAGAATAAAAAAATGAAAAAAATAATTTTTATTAATTTAAAATATTTTAGAAAAATATATTATTTAAAATTTTGATCCAAGAAACATTTTGAAATATATATAAATTAAAAAAAAAACGTTTGCAACAGAAAGAGTTTTTTTTTTTTTTTTTTTGTGAGTGAAGTTCAATAATTGAGTGTTCTTCTAGAATATTCGTAAAAATGGGTAGGATTCGGACTCCTCTTCTCTCCTTCCAATGATGCATTAATTAGTAGCGTAGAAGACAGAAAACTTTCCCCTATTAAAACAGATTAGACTATTTAAATATTAAAAAATTGATTTAGTTATAGGTTGGTGATTGAAAACCATAAAAAAATTCTTTCTTCTATTTCTCTTTTATATATATATATATAGATTCAAAAAATAATTAATATACATGTCACTAGTTATTTTTTAAATATTATAAAATTTAATAAAGCATTACTTCGACTAGATCTTTTACAAATTGGCTCTCTAAAGAGATGAATCGGTAATTTGGCTTTTCTCACTTTAAAAATATTTTAGGATATCAAATTCATAACTTAATTTCCAAGTTAATGGATATGAATCTGTAAATGGAATGGTGATTGAATGATTGTTGTACACTTGGACTGATGGCTCTTTTTAGATACTTCCCCTGCTGCCCCTTTTGCAGAAGCAAGATACCTTGGAAAAGTTACCTTACTTGATGCTTCATCAGATATTTATGCATGCATGGTATATATATATATATTATATATGAAGATTGTTACGAGGATTTCTTTGGTGGTTGAATCAAGGAGGTTCTTAATTTGATTGGCAAGGGCATTCTCGTTGTCCATACATTTAAAGCCAATATCCCCCACATCCTTTTTACGTAAAAGATGAGAGCATTTTCAATAATAAAAGTCAATTTTTGGAGACAAAGAAACAACGTACTATGTTCATTTCAGAGAGCAAATCTTGCTACCAACTTTTTAATTAAAGCCATGAAAGGTCTTTAACTATTTGATTCCGTACCATAATTTGATCTCAAACATGAGTTAGCATTCCTAAAAGACATGTCCGATTGAGGAAATATCCACAAATAACTTTTCACTTATTAATAACAAATATGAAAATCTTATTATTATTTTTTATGGATTAGGAGATAATTCAATATATCTATCGCTTTTTTCAAAATGAATTCAAAATTAATTATCGTACATGTCACTAATTACTTTTTGTGCATTTTAAAATTTATCATGATACATACAGGACAAGTTAATTAGAAAAGGACAAAAACAAAAAACAAAAAAGATAGAGATTTGTATTTATTTACATATAATCGGGTATATTAATCATCTTATTATTGAAAAAATGAATATATTGTTGGATTTGGTTATGCTCAAGAGATCTTCTTGTTATTCAAAAAATGAATATATTGTTAGGAACTTGTACGTATTCAAAAAGAAATTCTGTATTTGTGTTAGATCTATACGCACAAAAACTTATATATAAGAGTGGACTTCATCTCCAATTCAAAAATCTTTCATCTTATATATAAATACTTTTTTCTTCTCATTTATTTTCTATGTATTAGGATATGCACTAATCACATATGCTTCTAATATAGGTATATACAGAATGATAATCGATTTAATAGAAAACATTAAACATGTTATACTCATAGAGCTAAGATATAAAATTTGAGGAGGAGGCAAATTAAATTTGGGGGGCCTTCGATACTTTTTGCCTCATAATATGTTTCTTCAAAACATATCCTTATCATTCCCAATTGCTACATGAACTGACGGTTTAGGATGACACTCTCTTTTATATTCTACATCATAATATGAATAGAAAATCTTAATTTACACTTGCAAACTCTTGCTAGCAACTCCTTAAGAGCTAATTGCTTGATTTTTTTTTTTTTTTTCATGAAATCAATTGAGGTTCTTTTATGTTACTAAAAGCATGATGGATGTCATAGATTGAGTTTTTTTTTTTTTCAAATATAAAATCTTTAATTATTAATTTCAGTTTGACCATTCGGATTCAATAAACATGATATGTTATGTTTTTAACATTCCTTAGTAGATTAGTCTGTGATTGAGGTTAAATTTGATTTCAAAATGTTCTAATTGCATTATTGGTCCAACTGCTGTCATGGGAGTAGGTAGGGCCCAAGCCGAAGGGTTCGTCTGGCAGTGTCCCCATTGGAGTATCCTAGCCTTACCCTGTATCTCAAGTTGATTTTGACATTTGACGCATTACAACTAACCTTCTCCTTAGAATGACGCCTGATTATGTAGAAAGCAATTCATGGTGCAAAGAAGTTCGCGTGCACGTCATTAGGATTTTAAATAAGTCAGATCTTAATTCAAATTTGATATAATTAAATAAATACGATAAATAATTTTTTTATTTGAATTCAATTATGATAATATATATGTATATCTGAAATTTAGTTAAAATTTAGAGTTTATTTATTATAAAATTTAAATAACACATATCCTTTCATATTGATGATTGTATTTTTAAAAAAATCACATAAAAAATCTTGTTATTTTCTTAATTCAATTTCATAAAGAAAAATTATAAATTGAGTTATATATCTTTTCAAGAGTTAGTATTATTATATTTTTCATCACCCTATTTTTGTTTTAAAAAAAATATTAGAAGAAAAAGCTAATTAATTGAAATCGGGGCAAAATTGAAGAGAATAAAACATGAGGCTTGATAAAAAAAAAAAAATCAAGGAAATTTAGAAAAGATTTTACAATTGGAGTTTTTTTCCTAAATAAATTAAAAAAAAAAGAAATTTTTTAATTTGAATATATTCGAGTAGTTTTGGCATAACTTCCCGTATAGAGGTCCAATTTATGCAATTTTTGTGGCAAATTAAAACTAATAGATAATGCTATAATTTATATGTTTTAAGTTTGGTCCAAAACGACTCCCATCCTAGAGAAAATTGAGTCGTAAGTGACAGTTCAGCATGATTGACAACAAGATTAGGTCAACCTTAGAATCTTAATGTAAAAAGGAAACATGTGTTTATATATAGAAGGAGTTTCTTTTGACAAAAAACAATATTAATAGTCCTAAGCAATAAATAGAAACATAAAAAAAAACACTAGAAAATAAGGTAAAGAGAAACGAAAAGAGAGAAAGATCAATTTGTGTAGTTTCAAGAGCTATACTTTAGGCAAGTTTTTCTCATCAATCCTCTAACTATCTTATTCACATTCCATTTCTATTTGTAGAAGGTTAGCTCTCTTCATTTCTTAATCTAGTTGTGCAAGTTGGCTTGAAAATTATTGGTAGCTTAATTGCTATTCGAGAAAGTGTGAACTATTTGAAAAGATCTCCTTATGAAACTAAAAATTTTTCTAGTGAAATAAATCAACTCAAGGTAAAAGAAAAGGTAAGTTTGTATAGTCTAACTAGGTGAAACTCTACTTATTTGATGCTTGAAAGTGCATTGGGAAGAAGAAAAGCTTTTTTCGATTGGAGAAAATGGATAAGAAACACAAGCGCAATCCATTTAGCGAGAAATGGGAGGTGGTCAAAGTGATACATGGTTGTTTGAAAAAATTTTATGATGCAACAAATCATTTTTTAGGAATTCATTTTCCAACCGCAAATGTTTTTTTTTTTTTCCGACATATATGTCATTTAGCTATGTTTGAGTGAATGAGAAAATAATAAGCGTGAATTTATTTGTTTAATGGCTAAACCAATGGAAGAAAAGTCTATCAAATATGGGGAGAATAGTAGGTTGATGTTGGCTATTGCTATGGTTCTTGATCCAATATTTAAGTTAAATTTAGTGGCTTTGATTGATGGTATACAAAAGTTCTATTTTCTAATCTTTATGCTCCAAAAAAGTCGAACTCTAATAGTATTTGGAGGAGCTAGTATGTCCGAGAACAAACAAGCTTAATATTTTGTAATAAGAGAAAACTAATTGTGATACATTTTGTATTCTTGCAAATAATTGCTTGTGATGTTTTAGTTGTTTTAGCAACTACTATTGCTTCGAAGTTACATTCGAGTATGAAAGGTAGAGTTTTTGATGATTATCTTGTATCTTTACTTTCGGAGATTGTCGAGACAATAACTATTACAAGTGATTGGCTTCCAAATAGAAAAAAAAAAAAC